CTAGACATGAAAAAATACTTGAAACAAAGAAAATATATCATAATTCAGATCAACAGGCCTCAAAGGTCCCAGATTTTAATAGTTTTCTTCGACTTCTTTCTGTCTATTTCAGATCCTTTTTTACTGATTGCATCCATTTTTTTCATAGGAGTATTCTTGTTTTTTTTTGTAACAGTCTCAATGTTTATTATACATAAGGTTCTTGAACTCCTAAGTGGAGCAGAGAGCTTCAGTGAAAACGCGCCATCGGGTTCTATTTTGCGCTAAGGCCTTCACCTCATTCCAAGACTTTCCTTGACCTTTTATCTCGTCCATGATGGATCTTCTCCAAGTTTGTACTGGGCGACCTATTTTTCTTCTTCCTTGGGGATTCCACCCTAGATGGAATTGCATGGTATTGCATCTTTGCAATACTGGAATTATTTTTTCTGAGTGTGTGACCAATCCAACCCCACTTTCTGGACTTTATTTCATGTTCTACCCTTTTTTGTTCGATCAGATGTAGTAGATCTTCGTTTCTGAGGATTTTAGACCAGAAAATACGAACAATTCGTCGTAGACATTATCGTCTCAATATCGTCCTTTGTAGCTCCGCTTTTTGTTATGACACTTTCAAGATACGTAAAGTTTTCCATATTTTCAATCTGCATGTTTTTGATAGTAATAGCGTGTTGTTTCTTGCATTTACTCTCATGGATTTAGTTTTATTAATATTGATTTTTAAACCTACTTATTGGTTTCAGTGGAAAGTGTTTCCAATTGATCAGCCACATCTTGGAACCTTTGTCCTAACAGACAGATATGGCCGGCGTATTTCAGATCGCTTAGTCGTGAGGTTTACGTCCATTGTATCCCTCTTGTATCGGAGTGTAGTTTGGAGAGAACATAGTCTACTGCTATCTTAAAAAGAAACGGAGAGAGCACGCATCTCTGTTTGACTCCAGAAAGTATGTCAAATTCGTCGCTGTTGATTCCATTGTGTATGACGCTGCATTTCGCCTCAGTGTACAGTGACTTTATAATGAAAATTATTTTATGCGGGATGTTTTTAGCTCTAAAATTTTTTATAAAGCAGCATGAGATAAGCTGTCAAAGGCACGCTCGAAGTGTTTCATTCAACCGATTGTTCAATTGTTCCTTACAGTAATAATGTGGTCTATGCAGGAGGATTCTGGTCTAAAGCCTGCTTGGTCAGCTCGAAATTCAATCTTGTTTGTTAATCTTTTAAGTATGATGGTCGTGAAGATTTTATTTATTACGGTAAGCAAGGTTATTCCTTTCCAATTTTTGCTCAGTGTGAGGTTGCCCTTTTTTGAAACTTAATGATATTACTCCTTTTTTAGTCCACTGGAATGCGGTTTATTTCCCACACCTCTCGGATTATGGAGAGCAAAAATTCAGCAGTTAGATGCGGATCAGTTTTAAGTATTTCGGCAGCAATGTTATCGATTCCAAGAGACTTGTTATTTCTCAGAGATTTAATAGTTATTACCACCATTTTGAAAGGGGTCTCGCAAGATATACGCAAGTCTACATTCTGCGGGTTTTCGACAATTTCATCTGCGTTTTCACTGCCTAACATCTTCTAAAAATGCTCTTTCTATCTCTCTACTTAGTCGTTGGTTGTAGTAAGTAACTCGCCTGTCTTGGATCTTACAATTTTTCAAAGTTGGGCCCATTTTTTGCTAGTCGTCTAGTAATTTAGTAATTTGGTATAGTTGCTCTTGCTCAGGGTTTACTAAGTCTTTGGAAATTCCTTTTTCTAGTTAATCGAATTGGGAGGTAAATAGTTAATATGGGTCTCGGTGGTCATCCTTCCAGCTAAAGAATAATCGTCACGATAGCAAGTTCTATTCTCACCTTTTCATAGAACTCCCTTAATGACACTAACTGCAAAAAACAAAAAGCTCATCCTTTAAAGTATTTGGTACGAATGATCAAAGAGAAAAATATGGACTGTCTTAGGCCTTTATGTCTTTCTTTTTCCTGTTTAACTCCATTCTGAAATTTTCTTCATACAGCACCCTGTGATACTGCTTTGACACGTAAGCATGAGAGAATTTACTCCGTTGCTATTATTTTGACTTTGTTTTTCTTATATTATTATTTAGTTTTTAGATTTATAGCTTCCGAGCATGTCAGTCTCGCTTTTCTTCTTTGCCGTTATTACTGTTTTTGTTAACTGTGAAAGATGCTACAATACGAAAAAAGTACAATATCTACCAAAATAAAAATTTTCCGTATTTCTAAAGATATGACTAATATTTACCACGGTTTATTTTATTTAGAAAACCTTGGTGGACGTTTAGTTTCGCTAAATTTATCTAAAACTGTGTTATTTGGACAATTATTTTAATAAGCCTCAAACAATTTTAACGCTAATTTATTTTTATATATTATTGTTAATGATAAACAATTTTTTATAAATTTTAAACTAAAATTGGTTGATAAAAATATTGAAGGTAATTTAAATATTAGGTGGAGGAAAATGAAATATCTATGTGTCTTACAAATAATAGTTCACAAAGAAAAGGTCTCGCCCTAAGTGTTACTTTGGTTGAGGTGGGGGAACAATATGTTATATTTTCTTGGAAAAAAAGTGTTCAAAAGAAACTCAGCAACTGACTGCCGCAGGGATCTGTTTTGGCACCCTTACTGTTTAATTTATATATCGCGATTCTGCAACCCAAATATTGGATTATTCAATCGACGATAGGACAACTTCTCAAAGACTTATATACGCTGACGACTGGGCCATTACAGCAGGACAAAATAACATAGATATTACATAAATAACACTAAGGGATGACCTTGCCATTAGGGGAAAATACTTCCGGAAATAGAGGTTACCAAAGTGTACCGTTTCCATCTAAATAATGTCCAAGCCAACAAGTAAACCGTTCACTTTGAAAACGGATTACTGACTCATAAGTCACACCAATATATCTTGGAATAACTATTGTCAGAAATATAATTTACAGAACACTACAACAAACAGCAGCAAAACTAAAAACGCAAAATTGTAATCCAAAAGCTATGTAGCACCACAAGTGGTTCTTTAACCTCTGTACTCAGATCATTTGCTCTCGGACTTGTATAACCGGCAGCTGAATATGCTTCTCCGGCATGGCTCAATAGAAAATACACGGGAATTGTTGACATACAATTAATCCACACAATGCACGGGAGCTCAGATATAATAAGACCAACACCAAACTATTGGCTTCCCATTCTGGGTCACATCCAACTGCTGAAAATACGAAGAAGGCATCATGCGCTTCAGATATCCTCTATTTTTAAAAGCCACCTCTTTACATCAGTCTCACCAACATCTGGAGAAGACAATCGGAGAGTGCTCACCACAGTAAGTACATAAAATGACCTGTATCGTTCAGAAACCGACAGACTTTGAATTGTCCCACAATACATAGAAAACGCCGAACAGAATAGCAGCGATAGATGTGCTAACAGCTTACATATATGGAAAAAAGTCTCCTAAGTGTGACTTTGGGCGTAAATCAACAAACCATATTAGATAGATAAACTCTCGAAATGGTGTTACAAAAGTATGAATAAAAAAAATAAAAAAAAATAAAAAAAAATAAAAAAAAAACAGTATAAACCCAGTAGAAGTGGCAAAAGTAATAAAAAAAAACCAAGAAGGAAAAGCTCCAGGAAAAAAGATATCCACAATAAGCACTAACTAAAAGAACTAACAAAGACGATAATAGTGCAGCCCTTCTAGATACACAGAGATTGCCGAAGAAATACATTCTTTTAGAACAATTAAGAATATTTGTGAAAACAGTACCTACCACTATGGTTACGTAAAACAACATTTAATATTTTTATTCCATTTCGTATTATGTTACCATATCACACTGTATTTTAGTTTTAAGGTTTAGATTTATAAAAAAATTTGTAAACGTTCTTTGCGAAACATTCATTTGTCCCATAATTTCTGGGTGGTTCTTCAAAAAAGTATAGAAAAGTGAACCTTTTTCCCTTGGAAACAAAGTTTGACCCTACGGAAATAAGTTCACTTTTCTACACTTTGTTAACGGGCCACCTATAAATCTGGGATAAATGAAAGTTTCGTAAAAAAGGTTATTTTGCTCAAAGGACCATGTGCGAAGATGCAGATGTGTTTGTCCTTACACCTCGTCTAAAGCTTTCTTTCGTGCATCAGCCATAGGTCGCTGGTTTTTCCCTTGGGGAACAAGTTTTGTCCTTAGAGAAATAGGTTCACTTTACCAGATTATTTACCAGAAATATTTACCAGATTAGAAACACCCAGTGATGCAAAAATCGATTTCAGTTCATTCCGAAGAACGTAAATGGTCATATTGGATATAAAAAAAGCCTGTGACATAGTATGAGGGTAGTTTTGCTCTCGCTATTTTGTAGATTGGAAATTTTTTTGAACTATCATCATATATGCGGTTATATATAGCTAATTAAATTTGAAAGTATGAAATTTTGCAGACCAAAAATCTTAGGACTTAAGTAGTTCAAGAAGATCAGCTAAATTTTATCTCCTAAAGTGGATATCTCCTTTTCGCACTCGAAAAATACGTACAGCAGCATACGTCCAGGAAGCGACAACAGATCAAGGAACCTGAAGATAATCTGGTCCCTTATAGTAGTCCGTAGCATAGGCGATACCGTTATAAAAGAACAGAACAACAAAAACACAATATACTTTTTCAGAAATGTACATATTGTGACATTTTTCTTTTTATTTTATATTTTTATTGAATTTGTTGCTACCTTCGCATGATCGATTTTAGCAAAGTACCTTGAATTTGCGATCTAATACTGATATTAAAGAAATTTTGAACAGACACACCGGCAAAGTGTTGCGTTTTTGTATATGCTGTGCTGTATTTTTAAATGCTATAATAATTTTTGGACTAAAAAAAATCACTTATAATTGTATTTAAAATAAGTGCCTAAAAATATTATCAATAAGATGTTTGCGTTTATCTAAGATAACTTACGTGGTGGGGTGTTCCACATCTCGCCAACTATACGGATCATATTCGCCTGCTTCTATCGACTTTTTCTGATCACTTAATTCGATTGTAAAGAATCCGTTGTCTTTGCTTTTTCTAGCAACATCTTTGTTGCTTTCGGCTCCTGGATAACTGCAACAAAAAAAGAATAATAAATAATTTTTAAAGTAACAATTAATTAGTACAACAAATTAGTTGTAGCCTATATACAAACTAATACCTGCTAAATAAAATATAAACCTTATTTTTAAATTTAAAATTTTTATCAGAAAAGAAAGAGGGATCAGTGTAATGCCTTCAATAGAAAGGATATTTTTCACGGTGATAAAAGAAAAAAAAAGAACACATGGACTATTATGACAACGAATTATATGTTGTATTAATGATGGTAAAAGTATAAAGTGCAGTTAAAATTGCGCAGCCACTCTCTTACCCAGATCTAACATCTAGTGAATATAGAGCTCACAAAAAATTTTCGGCCCCTCTATTTTCTTTCTAGTCATTTGACGATATGTGGTTGGTTCTACTGCGTATCGCATATCCTTAATCTTTAAAAAACTTTCTGCTCTATAAGAAACTCGATCTGAAGTCGAGATGATACGGGTTCCCTCTCACATTGAAATACAAGGAAATGAGAAAGCAAACCTTTAGACAAGGTATGTGACAATGATGTAGTATCGTCACAAGTTATCTCAATGATGGTAAAAGTATGAAGTGCGGCCACTCTCTTACCCACATCTAACATCTAGTGAATATAGACTCAAAAAATTCTACAGGAAACGGATCCGTATATATTTATAAATCTGACACTCTCAAGGGAAAATAACTAAATTTAAATTGTATAAATATACATAGGAAACAGGAAATTCTCCGGAATTCATAGATATATTTTTTTAAAATTACGGAACTTAAAACACAATATAAATACAAAAGCTATTTGGAATGTTCAAATGCGATAACATTTATTTTTTTTATTAAAATTGAAATGCACTTTAATTTCAATGTGCTTAATTAAAAGTTTCTTATCAATTTCCGTAATTGTACTTACCTGATTATCTTTACATATTTAAGTGTGTCTACTAGTTGAATTACATACAACGATAACCGTTAGATTAAGCGTAAATTACGTCGTTTTTAGAGTTATTAGCAGCAAGTATAGAGTCTCTCAGTAGATTACAAAGAGGTTAAACAAAGCTATCAGAAGGAATATCAAGGATTATAAAAGGAGAGTACAGGAAGAAAAAATAGAAAAAGCAATTGAACAAAATAAAAACATGAAGTGCTTAAAACCACAGCTTCGAACCATACAAATTAATAGTATAAAGAACAAAGAAGGTACAGAGACCAATAATGTAGAAGAAATTATACAGATAACACCAAGAATATTATAAAAACCTCTACAATTCAAAACAGAAACCAACCCAAGAAATTCTTAAGCAACTACAAATAAAAAATAAAAAATGTTAATTCCGACTTACAACAGAGATCAGTAGAAGAACGAGATAAGAAGAGCACTCAAAGAGATGAAGAACAATAAATCGCCAGGAAAAGACGGAGTGACTGTAGAACATGCTAAAACATGGTGGAAAACAACTAGAGAAGTTTTGTACATACTTATGAATAAAATTTTAATGACAAAACAAATACCAAACAGTTGGAACGAAGCAATAACACTGTTACTATTTAAGAAAGGAGATAAAAAGGATCTAAAGAATTACAGACCCATAACTTTATTAAATGTGATGTACAAACTATTAACCAAAATATTAACAAATAGAATAACAACTAAATTAGATGGATACCAGGCAAGAGAACAAGCCGGATTTAGAAAGAGCTTCAGTATAAGTGACCACCTTTTAACGATGAAGATTTTAATCGAAAAAACTAACGAATATCATATCCCGCTATACATGGCATTTATTGACTTTGAGAAGGCATTTGATAGTGTGGAACACTGGGCAGTACAGAATTCCCTACAAAACAGCAGAATAGACTACCGATATACCGACTTAATTACAAATATATACAACAAGGCAACAACAACTATTAAGCTGATGAAACAAACGGAGCCTATTAAAATAAACCGAGGAGTAAGACAAGGAGATACCATATCGCCCAAGTTATTTAACCAAGCGCTAGAAGATGTTTTAAACGACTACACTGGGATGACTTGGGAATTAATATAAACGGGCAAAATCTGAATCATTTACGATATGCTGATGATATTGTATTAATAACAGAAAAAAGTGAAGAATTACAAAGAATGATGAAGAACTAGATAGAGAATCGACAAAAATTGGACTCAAGATGAATTATAGTAAAACAAAAACCATGACTAATCAACCAGAAGAACTTATGATTACAGTGGCACAAACAAAAATAGAACAAGTAAAAGAGTATATATATCTAGGCCAAATCACTAAATTAAATAAAGAAAATCAGACCGAAGAAATAAAGAGAAGAATAAGATTGGCCTGGGCATCATTCGGAAAACTGTCTTATATTCTAAAGAATTCAAAATACCCCCAATACTTAAAAACGAGAGTCTTCAATCAATGTATACTCCCTGTCCTCACATATGGCTCTCAGACATGGACGTTTACAAAGGAAAATATGGAAAAAATAGCAAAGACAGAAAGATCCATGGAAAGACAAATGCTGAACATTAAACTATCAGACAAAAAAAGAAACGAATGGATCCGTAATAAAACAAAAGTGAAAGATGTCTCAACCCAAGTAGCAAAGCTTAAATGGAAGTTCGCCGGACACACCCTAAGGCAGAAAGATGAAAGATGGACTAAAACAATTATACATTGGAGACCATGGAATCACAAACGTAAAAGGGGAAGGCCACAAATGCGATGGTCAGATGACCTGAAGAAACACGCCGGGTCAAAATGGATGCAAATTGCCCAAGATAGAGAGGCATGGAAGAAGGAGGAGGAGGCCTATATCCAAGGATGGATTTTAAGGGCTGTATAGATAGAGAGATAGAGTCTCTCAATATTTATATATTTATTCGAGGTAAAGAGCACAGCGCCATGCAAAACAAGACATGCAAAAATGAATAAAGAACATAAACACATACAAAGACTCATATCTTATGGTTGGAATACAAAAGAAACGGGACATATCCAAAGGATGCCAAATACTTTCTAAAAGAGTAACAAGTGAGTGTCGCTGACAATACCAATAATAACTAAAGAGGAAATAATAAATGCAGTTAAACAACTTGGATTAATAATAATACAAGATTTATTTATCAGATTTCTAACTGTGCTGGAGGGAGGGGTATACCACAAGACTGGATGAGCTCAATATTTATACAAATATTAAAAACATTTTAAGATTTTTCTCCTGTTATTTATTATATGTCTGAGAAATTTGTTTTTGCATTTTTCTGATTTTGTTGCTAAGTTGTTGCAGCGATTTGGCTAAACGCTTGATTTTGTATTACCATTATTTCATTGGATGTTAGCAATCTTCTCAACACATAAATATATTGTAATTTCCATCTCTATATCTTTAAATTGTTACTTGGATACTGAATACAAATTTTTTAGTCCCAAGGACATTTGAAGGACATTTCTAAACTTAAATTGAAATTTGTCTAGGTGGTAAATTATTGGCTATCTTTTATTATGTATAATATATAGAAATATTTTTAGCAAATGATTCAAAAGAAATTAAGAATTAGACAATCATACGGAAACTCTTCTGATGTGCACATAAGTTTATCTAAATATTTATAGATCTCGTCATTTGCGAAAGCGTCTGCTTTTGTGGCTTTTCATAATGAGTAATCACTATACGAGTGAGGTGTCAGATTTTCTGGGTAGTGTTTTCCTAAGTTTTCGTTTTTCTAATATTTTTGTTCTTATAATTGTTAGACAATCCTTATCGAACCGTTTTCGTCCGATTCTCATGCAGCTTCGTGTATTTATTTTGTTTTTTTGAGGTTTTTAGAAGGGTGAATAAAGAAATAGAAATTTTAAATACAATTAAAACAATTACAACAAGAATTACTACAATTAAAACAAGAAGACAGGGTTGTATACTCTCACCGACCTTATTTAATCTATACTCCGAAGACATTATAAACACAGCACTTTCGGATCAAAATATAGGTATTAAGATAAATGGCATCCGAATAAACAACTTGAGATATGCCGATGACACGGTACTAATCACAGAAACTTGGGAAGATCTTCAAATACTAATTAACAAAATAGTAGAATGCAGTGAAGAACACGGATTATCACTTAACATAAGCAAAACAAAAATAATGCTAATATCTAAATCACCACAAAACTTCCCTGACATAACCGTGCATGATCAAAGAATCGAACGTGTAAGAAGATATAATTACCTGGGAACTGTTATCAACGAAAATAATGATTGCTCTGAAGAAATCAGAACCAGAATAGAGAAAGCTAGAGCCACATTTACTAAATTGAAAAAGGTGTTCTGAGGAAGAGATCTAAGTCTAAAACTTAAAATTTGCCTTTTGAGATGTTACGTTATGTCAGTTCTCCTCTACGGGATGGAAACATGGACATTGAAAAAGATCGATACCAAAAATATAAAAGCATTTGAGTTGTGGATGTATCGTAGAATATTAAGAATTCCCTGGACAGAGAAAGTAACAAATGTGGAGGTTTTGCGGAGAGTGCGGAAAGAGAAAGAGCTGATACTTACTGTTAAAAAGCGCAAACTACAATATTTGGGACATGTTATGAGGGGAGATAAATACCAGTTGCTGCAATTGATTATACAGGGAAAGATAATGGGAAAGAGATCTATAGGAAGAAGAAGGCATTCATGGTTGAAAAACTTGAGAGAATGGTACAATTGCACCAATTACCAACTGTTTAGATCTGCAGCATCAAAAATACGCATAGCTTTGATGATAGCCAAACTTCGGAACGAAGACGGCACTTGAAGAAGAAGAAGAAAACAAGAAAATTGGAATATCCCGGACATATTACACGTGGAGAGAAATACACCTTGCTCCCACTGATTATGAAGGGAGAATGGTATGGATATCCAGTTCGTTTGGTATCAAACGAACTTTTCAGAGTAGCCGTCTCAAAAGTCCGAATAGCTTTGATGATTGCCGACCTCCGCCGTAG